AGAAGGTTGCGCCCACAGCCCGTTCGCTAGCCTCCAACTGCGCGGCCGTCTGGTCCGGGCGGCTAGAACAATAACAAGAACAACAACAACAACAACGACAACAACGACTAACAGCAACTAACAACAACAACCAACAGCAACACCCAGCAACAAAATCAACAACAAAACACAACAAACAACAAACACCACAAACAAGCAACAACCAACGACACCCAGCAACAACAACAGCAACAACAGCAGCAGCAACACCAACACACAACAAAAACCAAAACAACATCAACCACAACAACAACAACAACAACAACATTAACAGCAAACAACAAACCCAAGCAACGACAAACATGGACAAGCAGCGATTAGCAACAATAAACAACAACGGACAACCAACAACAACGACAAACAGCCACAAACAACAAGAAACAGCAACAAGCACCAAGCAACAACAAACAACAGCAAGCAACAACAATCAGCAAACAGCAACAACAACAACAACAACCAACAACCACCAACAACCACCAACAAACAACCAACAACAACAACAACAACAACAAAAACAACAACAACAACAACAAAAACAACAGCAACAAACAACACACAGCAAGCAACAAGTAGCAACCACAGCAACCACAACAACCACAACAACAACGACGACAGCAACACCAATAACAGCAACAGCAACAACAACAACAGCAGCGACAGCAGCATCAACGACAACCGCATTCACAGCCACAGCCACAGCTAGAGCCACAGCCACAATCACAACCACAAGCACAACTGTCAACATGATCTTTGTTGTGCCACGCGCTACTCGGAAGATGATGTAGGGCTTGGGGTTTAGGATGATTCAGGGCGTTCGGGCTTTGGAGTTTGGAGTGCCACTCGCGGACAGTTCTTAGCTTTACGGAAGAGTCACCTTGACCACCTTAACTAGCGTCAAAGGCAGGCCCACGGTCCCCACCCCTTCATAATGGTCAACTCGCACAAGGGTTGAGGGTAAAGTATAGGTTTTAGGCAAGTCTTCTCAAGGACACACAACCCACATCACATTAATATAACGCATCCAACTTGTGTAGAAGCCCCATGTCTGGACTTTGCATGCTGCTACACAGACGCCCTTCCCTTTTCCAACCCCAAACTAACACAACATGCCTCGAGGGGGATCTGTAGGAGATATTCATGGACGCTGGTGGCCCAAAGAGGTCGACAGCGCCACATGTCTCTGGCCGTCCAGTCTCTCCCTTCATTATTTCAAGACTAACAATGACAGAGGATGCCTCGTACTCGCGGGCTCCTTTTTCACCCTTTTTCGTCCTCTGGAGCAGGTGCAAAGGTGCCCAACCGCTTGCCATCAGCAGCAGGCACTGCGGGGCGCTGTGCTCTCGCTGAGTCCTAATGCGAAGTTTCGTGTGTTAAAGCTGAACCCTAAACCCGAAACTGTAGAAGCTGAGGCGGTCGCCAGTAGTTTGTGGACTGGGCGGGCTACCACTCCTCGCAACGCTGCTTTTCCCTACGTCCTTCGTCTGCCGTATCAGGCCTCGCTGGAGTTGGAGGTCCACCAGGACTCCTGCAGAGCTCCAGCCTGGTTCTCATGGTTCTACAGCATCACCATTTGCGTCTGGGGTGCAGTGCCGTTCCAGCCGGCCTTATGCAGTGTCAGAGCCGCATTTCGACCTCGCGAGCAGCCTTGAACATAAGCCAAGTTGCCCAGTTGCGCTTTCCCGATGTCTTGGCCTCGTTCGGCTCCGAATTCATGCTTGACGGAGACTTGCACTGCCTCTTCTGCAGACCTGCCTTGTACTTGTACTTGCCACTTCCCTTGCGATGGTTTGCCCACTCGGTTTCACGATAATTGCCGTAGCAGGCATCGCCTTAAATTGCCATGCCACAATCTTACCCGTCTGTAGTGCCACGTTGGCTTTTTTACACCCAGTGCAGCTGGAGAGCCACCCCACCATCCACGCTGGCCACGTCCTGCCGCTAGCTGGGTTCCGGAGCGAGATTGCAGCATGTTTTCACAAGCTTCGAAAGAGTGTCTCCTTGGTTGTTCCCGCTCCATTGTTCCGATTTCGTCCTTCGTCTGCTGTATCAACTGATTGACGGGGCGGCAAGTAACTACAAGTAAACTCACCACCCTTTCCAGGCAAGAAGCCGTCACAATGACGCCCTCAGCCGCCCTCGGACCATGGCAGGGAGCAAGCGGCCAGCAGTCCTGCTACCGCAAGAAACAAGGTCGTGGCTAGAAATGGGCATGCCAGCAATAACTGCAGCAACAGCAACAACAACAAACACTAGAACGAGAACGACCACAAAAACCAAGAAAAAAGAAGAACTATAACATTAACAAAACCAGAACAGGTAAGGACAACAACAACAACAACCAACCAAGCAACCAAACAATCAGCAAACAAACAAACAACCAAACAACCAACCAAACAAACAACCAAACAAACAAACAAACACACACACACACACCAACAACCACCACCACCACCAACTCCACCACCACCAACAACAACAAGAACAACAACAACGGCAACGGCAACGGCAACAACAAGAACAGCAACAAGAACAACAACAACAACGATAACAATAACAAGAACAAGAACAAGAACAAGAACAACAAGAACAACAACAAGAACAACAACAACAACCACCAAAAAGAACACACACACACACACCTACACACCTACACACCTACACACCTACACACACCTACACACACCCACACACACACACCTACACACACACACACCTGCACACACCTCTACACACACCTCTACACACACCTCTACACACACCTCTACACACACCTCTACACACACCTCTACACACACCTCTACACACACACCTACACACACACACACCACCAACAACAACAACAACCACAACCACAACAACGACAACGACGACAACAACGCCAACAATAGCAACAGCAACAACAGCAGCAGCAACAGTTACAAAAACGACAACCAGATTCACAGCCACAGCCACAGCCAGAGCCACAATCACAACCACAACCAACAACAGACAACAAGAGACAACAACAACCAGGAGTTCAGGCGCTGCATGCAGTGGCTCGATGCAGCCAAATCACGCGTCCAGGAGACGCTGGTGTGATCGTCTCCCTTAAAGAGCCTCCACACAATCGAAATACACATTTAACTAAACACCACGTAAATATATGCCTGAGTAATGAGAACTGAACATGTGCCTAACAGATAAATTATGTTCGCATGTGCCCGCATACCAGGGAACATGATGGTAATATCAGATAGGTGTCAGGTATGTAACCGGGAAACATTGCTGAAGGTCAAACGCTGCCTTGTGTAAACATCAAAGTATTAAGCAGTGACCAGTCTGAAGCTTGCCCTTGTTGTTAAAGCACTTGTTAGACATAGCCGTATCGTTCAATACTGGGCGACTTACACGTGTTTTCGCTAGTGTTAAATGTGGGAGCCCAAACTTTGCGAAGGGCTTTGGTTAGGACTTGGGGATAGAACAAGTACTGAGAGGTCTCAGCGTTTTGACAGTATGGGAGCCAAAAACATTGGGACCTCTCATGATTTGGGGAGTCGTGAGGCACGAAAGTGCAAGGAGAGGTGCACATATTTTAGGGGTCTACAAGCCCAAGGCCATGGGAAGGTCCCAATGGAGCCAGTGTTTGAGAGCTTGAGAGTCTCCAGGCCCGCGCTACACAGAGACTTTCACACAGCGGTGTTATTGGCTTTATTGGTACCTTCCATAGTCTTGGGCTCCAAGACCCCCAAACACACTGGGACCCCTCAGATTCGGGAGTCTTGTGTTGAGAGGTCCTATTGCTTGGGTGGTGTAGAGGCCCAAAGCATTGGGACCGCGTTTCGTGAACATGAGTCTTGCACTCAAGGTTCAAATGTTTGGGAATCAATAAAGCCAGTGCAAGTCAAGGCAGGAAAGGCAGGAAAAGAGTAGGTACATGGGAGGGGAACCGCCTTATATATATATATATGTATATATGTATATATATATATACACACATACATATACATACGTACATACATACACATACACGTTTCTGAACAAGCTGTAGATATGTATATATATATATGTATATGTATATATGCCACCCCCAGCTATCACGAAGCTGGGTTTACCCACACTCTAAACCCTAAACCGTGGCTTTGAGGTGCCCGGAATTGAGGTTGCCATCAATTTGCCTAGTAGGTTTCAGATGTTGGCATTGCGGCTTCGGGTATATGTAGTGAGTTGTAGGATACTGCATCTGGGGCTGGCTCTAAAGAATTGCAACCGACATGTTCACTGCAACCTTCATTGCAGCAAAGACACCTAAACAGACCGTAATCCAGCCCCCTGAACCCTAAAACCCTAAAGCATGAAACCCCCAAACCCTGAAACCCTGAAGCCCCAACGGCCCAAACCCCGAAACCCTGAACTCCCAACGAACCCCAAATCCCGACGAACCCCGACTGGCTCTCACGAGCTTTGTTGGGGGACCTGAGAAGAAGAGAAGCCACCCTTTCTGCTCGAAGCTTCGGATTCAGCCACCAAGGTACTTACTTTAGGGCTCCTTCACGGGTACTATAATGTTGCTTTCAGGCCGGGTTAGGGTACTCTATACTTAGGATTTAGGTTTGGGATTTGCAGGGGTCTAGAGAGGGCTTGGGGGCTTGCGGTTCTTCCTCCAGCAGCAGCTTTCAACCTGCGCCTAAAGACACAAGCCTGACATCTAAGATCTCCAAGCCAAGCCCGATTTTCGGTTCAAGATCAGGAACATGCAGAAAGATATAGGAAACAACGGCATCTAAGGGGGGTCAAGTGAGGAGCCCATCTCATTTCGTTCGGTAACTTGTGATAGGAAATCCTGCAGATCCTAAAAATATGGCAGCCCGGGACCCTTCGTCCTGCCGAAGCTTCCTGGAGCCTACGCGGCCGAAGGCTTTGAGGTGTCTTTTTGTGCAGAAGTTCTTGCTACATTGGCCGACCTCTCTTTTCAATTGCACTCTCTTGGCGGGCAAAGGCACCACACCGAAAGGGACATGTAGCGAAAGCAAAAAACAGCCCCAAAAGAAGGTGCCCTCCAAAAAGCAGCAAAGGCTCGTGCTTTCGAGTCTTTGTCTTGAGGTCCCAGAACCGAATCCGAACCGCAGTTGTGCGATGCACCGAAGTCAGGGGAATTGGCCTTGATTGGGCTTGGGTCTCACAACTTGCTTACAACTTCTGCTTCTCTCTGGGGTTTCAGATGCTTTCAGGGCTTTAGGGTTTTGGGCCTCAAGCTTCGAGTTCGGCCTTGGGGTTGTGCGGTTGAGTTGTCCTTTAGGCCTGAAGGCTTTGGGGGCTAAGTCTTCGGTCTTCGCCTGAGTTCATGTAGGAACCCGGGGACTACGGGAATCAATGCACGCTGTTTGCCTTCGTCCACTCAAAGACCGCTTCCATGGCATCTTAGAATGAAGGTAGACGTGCTCTCTCAGAGTTCAACCGCTACCAAAGACTTGGCCAAGCATCAAATTCAAGCGCGTTTGTAGTGTTGAAAAGCTGAAGCACTAACCATGCCTTCGCAGTAACACTAAGTTGGTCATTCCTCTTGGTATGTTCGTTGTGAGGCTTGTTGTGTTCCTGTTGATTCATGCATCTGCCTCACGGCACAAGGCCGACTTTGCAGCCTCTGATTCGAAGAGCTGTTCGGGGGTCCCGCATAGAGTTGATCATGTGCGCAGGCCACACCGAGGCTGGCTTCCACTGGATTCCACTGGATGTAAAAAAAACTATCGCCCTTCCCTGTTTAACACCTTCAGAATTTGCCCTCAACCCTTGCAGCCCTGGCATGCACGCAAATAACACCGCGTCATTTCCCGGAGGTGCGACATCAGTCTTGTCGTGACGTTGATCGGTCTTGGCCTTCCAATTGCGACCAGGTTGCGTAAGCAAATTGCAGCACATTCTTCATGCGCAGCTTGTGATAATCATCCCCAGTGGCGCTTTTGATTCTGTTCTTCACGCTGGCCTGTCTTGCGAGGCCATGATCCAACAACTGTTGCTCCAAGGACCCTTATGGGGGTTGCTGCATATGTAGTCACGGTTTTATATGTCCCACGGCATGCCTGTCTTGGCACAGTTCTCTCAAACGCGGTCCAGTGCTACGCTCTTGCTCCAATATCTCTAAATATTAAACCTCGAACACTTATGTAAGGCTTGGGGTTGTTTTAGCTCTCAACACCGAAAGCTTGCTGTTGAAGGCCGAGTTGCGTTGTATCGCACCCCGTAGTAGCGCTGTAAGTAGTCGTCTTGGATCGTGCCGTTGGTGGTCGTTCCTCCACCTCAACAAGGCTTTCCCTCAACTCCGACACTGGGCCTCCCAAATGTAGCATGGGCTTGGAGGATGCTTAGAAAACCAGCGCTTGGGCTCAAACCAAAAGCTTACGCAGCCTAAAAGCCATGCTTTCAGGGTGCAGTCAGTGACCCAGGCGTCTTGCCCGAAGGAGGCCGGCTGAAGAATGATCGGGGCATTCTCCGCAACACCGCCTTCAAAGCTGAAGTCCTCGAAAGCCAGGATTTCGGGGGTTCTTAACATTTGGGGGGCGTATAAGGATCCTGCACGACAGCACAAGGACTTTTGCCCGAAAATACCACTCAGGAAGCAACAGGCCACACAATACCGCACGAAAGGACATACTACAGGGAACCTTTAGAAAAAACCCGGTTTGTAAAACCTTATGAACAATCCTCTCAAGAAGGCTCTTAAGCCTTTAAACTTAAGCCCTATAAACACCAAGGCCCCAGACCCTGTTAGCCTTAATGCTTTAAACTCCGAAGCCCCAAAACCCTATAGTAACCCGGAGAGATCCCTTTGTAACCTCTGGGAACTCTTACAGACCCCTTCGAGGAATTCGAAGCCCTGACGAAGGGTTCCTCCCGAAGTTCTGAAGACTCTCGAACTATCGAACCCTTATGTAGAGCCCTTAAACTTAAGGGAAATTTCAAAGCCCTATAAACCCTACAGTAACCCGGATAGATCCCTTCGTAACCCTGATAGACCCCAAAATATGGAATGAAGCCCTAAACCCTTCCTGGAAGCCACCGCACAAGGCCATGGCAGCACCCCGCACGTTCGCGTCAAAGGGGACAAGCCAGAGGTTGAAGGCCAGGATGATCAAACCTGAAGAGGCTTTAGGGTTTAGGGGTTTAGGGCTTAGGGATCCACAAGGAATCCATTAGGAATCTACAAAGGATCCATTAAGGATCTATTCCGGTTTAGGGGGTCTGGTTTGAGGGTGAAAGTTTAGGAACTAAAAGGGCTCCTGCTTTAAGGGATCAAGAAGAAGTAGTTGGGGGGTTCGAGGTGAGGAGAGTTGGTCGTTGGAGTCGTTGGTGTTATGGGTTCAGGGCTTTCAGGGTGTCAGGCCTTCTTGGATTTGGGAGCGTTTTGGGAGGGCTTTATAGTGGCTGGTGCAAGTATCATTGGACTTCGACAGCCCTCTGAATCCATCTCCTTTGCTTTCCTGAAGCCGATTCCAGCAGGGCATGCCCTGAGCGCATCCCAGCGAGCCTCGCCAAACGCAGTGCCGGGTGCGGTTTCTGAGACCGTCGAGCTCTCGTCCCCGTCTCTGCAGTCGAAGTCACTGAGCTCGTGGATAGAGCGGTGCAAGTTCGTGGGATGACCAATCTTCTGCACTTTCATCGCGTGAAAACGTGAAAACTGCTCCAGGAGGACCCCAACAACAACGTCACAGGCCCTCGTCAATGCCGAGTCAACGCTAGGAAAACACTGATCAGGTGCTGTAACCGAAAAGAAGGTTAGCCATGGAAGGCAGCAGGATGCCGAGCAGTGGAAGAGCGGAAGGCGAAGAAGAGACCACCACCACCAGGGGAATGATATCCTGGGCACACTCGGGAACATTTCGGGTGGGGTCTGCCGTTGCTTGTCTCTCACGATTCACCAGCTCCAATAGACCAAGCTTGTCCAGCTCCGCAGCACAGCGCGCCTCGGGCCAATCATGATGGCAGCCTTGCAGAGCATAGCGCCTGAACTCCGCGAAGGAGGGCCTTTGCAAGTCGGGAACCAGGAGCTCACAGTAGCCGGGCAAACTCACGCCGTCCCACCAGCGCTTGCACTTGCACTCGCCCGTCGTGCCATCCGCCCTCACGCAGCTGGCCGGCGACGTGCACTCGCCACCGCTGCTATCGTAGAGAGGTATGTCGGCACATTCCATGGTTCGAGTGTCCAAATGTGAGGATTTGCAGAGCCGGCCATCGCTGCTGGCAGCGCCGGCCTCCAAAGAGTACTCCATAACACAAAGACTCGGAGTCGTTGCCAAATTACAAAGGTGGCCTTGCAGGCACTCGTGGGGATGCTCTCCACGGCAGCTGTGGGAGCGTGGCAGCTGTGGCACGCAGACGCCTCTCAGGCAGTACCAGCCCTTCTGACAGTCCAGGTCTCGTCCTTCTTGATAGCCATCCCAACAGGGCACGTTGGCCCCGAAACCCACGCAGCGGCCGTTCACACATCTCTCGCCGCCATAGATGCAGACGTCGTGGCCCAGGCTTTCGCCCTCTTCGCACTTTTGCCCGGCCCAAAGCACGCGGCGGCAGATGCCGAAGTGGCAAGCGGCCAAAGGATCGCCCCCGCACTCGTTGTCCAAGTGGCACATGGCGCCAAGAGGCTGCTCCTCGGAAGAAGGCCCGTTTCCCTCTTGCACCTCTTAGTTATCAGCTTTGGATTTCTGGCAAATAAATCCAAGCACAAAAAAAGGCGGGTGAAGGGGTGCTACCAACTGGGTGACCCAGGCTCAATAAAGACTTCTGCCTCACAGAAGCTTTCGCAAGGAGGTGAGGTTTGGCAGGGGCTGCAGGCCGGGAAGAGTGGATCGACACATCTGGCAAAGGCTTCCTTCATCTCCTTCCCCCCACTTGCCAAAGTGTAGCATAGCCTCTGCCCTCCGATGCCAGCGACGGATGTGTCTGCTGGAAGGCACCTGAGCTCTGCTTGATTTCGTCGCCGCGAAGCACTCCAGAAGCCAGTAACAAGACTGGTAGGACTGGTAATTACGGTGACTGTAATAGGTTACGTAGCGCTGCAAAGACTGTTGCTGCTGCAGCTGCTGCTTGTACTGCAAAAAAACAGACGGAAACTTTTCCTGTGCTTTCACGACCGCAGGAACGAGCATGCTAGTACTAAGCTGCAAACTTCCAGCTGTGCAGTTTAAAGCTACAACATAAGCCCATTCGTGCCCGCCAGGCGCTGACGCATCATGCAAGAGATGGCCCCTTCCTGAGCCGCCTGGAGTGACGCCAGGCTTGCAGCAAGCAAACGGGAGAGCCATCGCATGGCCGGTGTGCGGCTTTAGGTTAGAGGGGCACCTTAACTAGGGGCCAAAACAATTCTCGGGGTACCTTGTTCTTGGGCCCTTACAAGCACAGGTGTACCGTATTTCGGGGCCCTTACAATCGCAGGGGTACCTCATTCAGGGGTCCCAACAATAAGACTAAGGATAAGCATGATCATGATCCTACTGATCCCATGGCGTCTGTGGTGCCGGGGCGGCGGGTGTCAATCGGGTCTTGCAGAAACGCTGCATTGAAGGTTTAGGGTTTGGAGAAAGGTTTTTGGCATCGTGCAGTATTGGCTGAAGGCTTTTTGCCAACGACAGTGGGTGCTTTCTGACATGATCCTGAGCCAAGAGCATCAGCAGAAGCCGCTTGCACTTGTTGTGTTCCGTCAGGAATCGTCTACGAAACCGCCCGCACGGCTTCAGAAAGCTCTCTGCACCATCGGTGCTCAAACGCAACTGCCGCCAAAGGTGCCAGTGGTGACGACGTAGCGCGTCAGGTCTTTCACAGGAGGGCAAATGGACACAGGCTTCCCGGAAGACCTCGGTCGCAGGTTCACAGACGTCCTTAGCCCTGAAGAGGCAACATGCACGAGAAACACCGTTGTGTAGCATCCGCAGTGCAACAATCTCTCAAGGTCTCGAAACACTTCCTGACTCCAGAAAGGTGAGAGCAAGCGTGCGATGCCAATGTTGCAGGGGTGCTCGAAGTGAGGACTGGCTAGTTCTTGAGGCTCTACACCTATAAAAAGACTCTACACCGTTCTAGCCACTCACGGGCTGACTGTGTTTCTCCCATTAAATCCGAGGAGCCCTGAAGGAAGATGCGTATAATGCAGAGAATCAGCTTGATCCACATCCGACCGTCAAGACAATCCCTGAAATCCCTAAACCCTAACCCTAAACTCTAAATGCCTAAAACCTACAATGCATCAAGCTTCTCTCCACATCGCATCGGCTCAATTCGAGGGAGCATAGATCGCAGCTGTTCCGTCAGGAGCACGTGTGCCTAAGTCCCAGGCTCGTTAGGAGCTTTAGCGAGCGTATGGCTTCTTGGATTCAAGAATTGGATTCCGATCTTTACAACCTCTAGTCTCTTGCCGCTCGTCGAGGGTTTGAAGATAATTCCAAATTTTCAGCTTGCGCCTCTTGCGCAAAAACCCTGGTAAGAGGAAACCACCTAGAGGAGCCCAGGGAAGAAGAGCTCAATCCACCAAGGTACGGGTTTCCGGCAACATGGAAACTTGTAGCGATGTTATTGAGCAGTGATTGCATGAGTCGCAACAACTAGTAAGACTGCGGGGTTGTTCATACGGAAACATATCGCAACGCCCGTTTTGGATTGGTTGGGTCCCCCAGCTCGAAGCAGCTAAAGATCTACACCCGAGTCTGCGACAGGTTCCAAAGCCAGAGCCTGTGAAGAGTAGGTTGTGGCACTGCAGGGTGTGTGTGTGTGGTCGCGTTTGTAGGCGTGTCATTGAGGCCGTACTGACTGAATGGAGATGCGGAGTGTAATAGACGCTGCAAAGTAGATGAGAAGCGACTTCTACAGCAAATTCAAATTGTTTAGGTCCAGTGAGACGACTCTTATTTTCAGCCCATGGAGGGACCCCAACCCGACTGAACTTTAGACACGGCCCAGCTTCGATTAGCTCATCCACGTCCATGATGAATGCCAGGCCCACAGCATTCAGCACAATATTCTCAAGGCTGACCGTCTGTGCCTGGGACGGAAAGCAAGCTTGTGTATAGATCATGGCGGTTTTTTTCTCTGTCTGGCCGAGACGAGGACATCCTTGTCCAGGCAATACTTTACAGGTTTTGAATGTGCACCGAACCTCTCACCGATGGCCCACAGTCAAAAACCTGTCAACATGCGAAATAAGGCTTTAGAAAGCAGTAAATGTCTATGCTTGGGGTCTGCTGCAGACTTTTGGGCTCCTGCTCACACCGGGGACAAGCTGCCAGGTATTGGCAGCCGAACAATGCCATCCAGAGCATCACCGCGATGCGCGGGAGGCTAAGTGTGACCAGCGCCAGACATCGCTTCGTGGGCTGTATGCCTTTAATGGCTATCCTCCCGTCCTTTGCTGGCGGCGCAGTTGGAACTGGATCGCTCGAGATAGGGACCCCACGAAATGCAATGCCTACACTCCATGCCCCTTCATCTCTCCCAAGTCTGTTCAGGGGTCGCCCGAAGTTACATTTAGAATCCAGAATGCCTTTTCGAAGGTCACAGGGTATCAATGGCTCCCCGAATTCTACCGTAGATCTGGAGTACCATTGCAACCATCTGAAACATATGCGGATCTTTGCTGTGACGCAGGTATAGGGTTTTTCGGGTTCAGGGACTCACCAAGGGGCTATCATGGGGTCCAAACTACATGCGGAATGGACAACGGAGGCAGGTGCTAAGCTGAAACACTACACCCGGAACCCGATAGCTCCAGGCTGTAAGCTGCCAACCTAAACCCAGCCTCCATCTCAACAGAAGCCAGCTTGACTCTTGTGCAGTTTGTCCCGAAAGCTTGGGTCTCAGGAGAAATCCCTTTGTTTGAAGGCCATGAGCCATGAGACAGCACCAAAGAAAAACCCTCGAAGGCCAAGTGGCGCGGTGGTGGACAGCCCCCGACTCCCGGGGGGAGATTGCAGGGAGGTGGATGACTGCAAGGGCCTGCTCTGTACATCGCCGGAACCTGGGTTTGGACCAGATCCATTCAAGATGCAAGCTGCAAGGATTCGAGTCTCAGGTAAACCTAAGGTCAGTATATCGCCTGCAGCCGAAGACCCGAAGAATAAACATAACAAAACACACACATGACGGTAATAATACTTAATAGTAATAATGCTACTCCTACGACTACTACTACTACTACTACTACTACGCCGACGACTGCTACTGCTACTGCTGCTACTACTACTACTACCACCATCACTACCACTACACTACTACCACTACACCACTACACCACTGCACCACTACCACTACCACTACTACTACGACGACGACGACTATACCAATAATAATAAGACTTAGTAAGCATAATAACATTACAACCTGTCATGGGTTAAGCATGTCGATTCTGTACTCGGGCCCACAGGAGGAAAGGTGGCTATAGGTGCTTCTCTCTCGTTATCAAACGGTTCAAGGAGCTCGACCATCACAGTGAGGATCCACATGATGATGGCCAGAGAGCTCAAGATATAACCTGGAACGACCTCTGGGAAAAATGGGCCTGTTCAAGGATTCATAAGGGTCCTTTTGGGATTTTATACGGTTCTTTAAGCCCCCGTACTTATACTCTACTCACTAGGCCCATGGTCAGAGGATGAGGGGACAAGCTTTCATAAACCCGCGGGGCTTGAGTCATTCGATCGGGCTTTGAGGTACACTGCCGGTTATTAGGGGTTTACGGTTTAGGGAGGGCTTATGTGTACTACCCCGACTAATGTAGGAACATTATGAACAAGAACTTCCCTGGTTCTCACCATGGTTTCTTGGTCAAGCTCCTCCAGTGGGACTTGGGCGAACAAACAGATCTGCAGAGTGTGATAGTCGGGGATGCAGGTCTGAGGTTTCACGTGGAGTCTTGGGCCTAGGATGTAGAGTGTAGGAGAAGGGGCAATACCTTGCGAATGTTTCCGATGCCATAACTGCTATCGATATTATCGCGTTCAGGATTACCGGGTTCCCTGTTGGGGCTTTGTTAAAAATGAGAATTTTCAATCCTTATATTGGGTTTTTGTTTATAACCAAAATGTAAGATTGTAGCCAACAAGGACCCAGATTATAGCTTCCAGCCTGGTACAGGTAGTCGTACATCAGCTTGAACTCTGCTTGCTCGTAAGACCAGAGCTCCTGGTTGCAGAGTCGCCTCAAAAGGCTCTGCCCGGCAGTGTCATCGAAGTTTGCGCTCGTGTGCGCTCCAACCCGCCAAGTCAGCATTTCTTTGACAGTTTGATGCGCGTACGGGTTCTCCAGCAGAATAAACGTGACCGTAAGCAGCAGGGCTATTTGCAATGCCAAGTTCAGGAGAAAGCCCAATATCAGAACCACCCTGTCCACCGGTGTCGTAGCATTGTTGAAGAAGAGGAGGAGAGCAGCATCCCATATCGACTGGTCAAACTCGTACAGAGCTACACCATCGTGTATCTCGTCCTCCTCATCGGCCTGTGGTGCGGCAACAAGCTTCACCTCAACCACGTCATTCGCCTGAACATCTTCCACAACCTCCGCGACGACGGTACGAGCACCTGGCGCAACAGGCCACAAAGGTTCCAGAAATACAAGCCTAGTTCATCCCAATTAAGCCTGAGGCCCTAACCTCTCAGCCCCAAACCGTACACCCTCAAAAGTCCCAAGTTCCCCTTCAACCCTAAAGCCCCCGATGCGCCCTCCAGCGACCTTGCTCCAGTAATCGCTCCAAGCGCTGCTCCAGCTGCTGAATGCGGAGATCTTGTCGGGACAGAAGCTCGGCCTTTACTGGAACATGGCTTACGGGTGTATTATCGTCTTTAGAGTAGAACGATATAAGGAAAACACAGTTAAGTCGAACGGAATGCTTTGGGCGCGATGTTTATCGTCGTTAGGGTAGAACTGTATAGAGGAAAACAAGGCTACTTCGAAGAAGGTCTTGGGGCATGCTAACTGTGGTCTTAACGTCTTACAGACCCAACTACCCATGGAATTTGCGGAGGTGCTTTCTTAAGAGACGCAGAGCCCCGAATTCAATTAAGAAGCTTCGGGTACGAGGGTCCATGTACCAATGTAGTGTATACTCACTTTGTCCTGAATGGGATTGCTATTCGAAGGCCAAAGTATATACTAGGGTAAGGTACTCGACTTCAACTTCCACAACTCAAGGGTTCTTCAGAATTTATCATGAGGTTTCTGGGGCCGTTCAGCAACGTGCCTTGTAAGTTACCATCGCTTTGTTTTGCTTTCTGCTTGTAGAGTAGAGGGGGGGTTGCATCGGGTGTGAGGAACGTGGCTATTCCGGCAACATAAGCTGCTTGGAGGTTCATGGGTAGTTATAAGTGGGGTTATAAGTCCCCTAATATGGGTTACAACTATGGTGACCCTACTTATAACTCCACATATAACTACCCATGAACCTCCAAGTAGCATCCTCAACAAGGCCCAAGCGGCCTGTGTTGAGAGCTGTTGGCTCTGGGCGCCCAGCTGCTCAGCCTTCATGCTGTGGAAAAAAGCGGAAAGGTGCGTGCGAAAGCCGAAATGCTCAGTAGGCTCTGTCGAGGTTTAGGTTGCTCTTGGATGCAGTACCCCAAAATCTCATTCGACCATTTTCCCAAACTGTGCTTGAAGCTGCACGTCGAGCTCGAACTTTCAGCGGAGTTCCGAAAGAATCCACAGCATCTCCCAGCCATGCACCCTGAACCCCAGCACAGGCCCTCAACCCTAAGGGTTTAGGGCCTACACTGCTCTACATAGGAGAAAGCAAGTATAAATCAGGCGCAGAACTTAACCCTAAACCCTGAAACTCCTAAACCCTACATCCTCAACCCTGAACCCTAAAACTCCTAAACTCCTGAACCCTAAAACCTTGGAGCCTGGCCTGCGCCGCCAGCTGCTTGGCCTGCGCCTGCACCGTGCTGGCGAGACCGCTATCGGCCTCGCTCCGGGCCTCGGTTCGCCCGATCCCACGGGGGTTTCTTAAAACGGGATCTAAAAAAGGATCTATATAGTAGGCTATAAGGGTTCTATAAGGCATCTATTAAGGATCTAGAAGGCTTCCATTAAGGGATCTAGTGGGGCTTAGGGGTTCAGGGTTGTGTGTTTTCCATGGTTTTCGTGGTTGACAGGGGTTGGCAAAGGTTTCCAGGGCCTGAAAACTTACGAAGGCATTCTGGGCTTCTTGGAAGTAACTCAAGGGCAAGGGGGTTGTTAATCAGGGCATATACATACTGCAAAAAGGGCCCTCAACCTTAGCACTCACTCGAAGCCCTGAGTAGACAAGGACACTAGTGGCAATTATGTACTGTCGGCGCTCAGGATAGCTTGAATTGCTCCTGGAGGCCTGCGTAACCACTGGAAAAACCTAGTCCATACCGATGATTCAGACATCTGCATGAACCGCGAAACTCCTGAAGCCTGCACCCCCCGACACCTCCCAACCAAGAACCTAAACCCTGTAAGGGTGGCACCTTCGGCGTCTTTTTCACTTTCGACTCCTTCGCCTTAGGCGTAGGAGCCGTCGCCGCGGCCTCAGCAGTGCTTGTTGGCTCCAGGTGATGTGCAGTTTTTCGGATCATAGTGTTTTGGGGTTTAGGCTTTTGCGGTTTTGGGGTCTTGTTGTTGAGCGTTGCGGACCAGCAAATGGAGGTGTTCCTCGTGGGTTCTCCTTGATGGGCCTGGCGCACCGGTGCCCAAGCCCATGAGCTCGAGGCTTGCTTTGTTCGTGCTTTTTTGTAAGGCCTTGAGGCGCACTTCGCAAGCGAGCATTTCTGTCAAGGGGAGGTTTCGATGAATGGTTTTAACATAACAAGAGCCCTCTCAAAAAGACCTTAATTACTGTACTTGCTATATGCAAAGCAGAAAAAGACAACAATAAATCCTCACTGCCCTGTAGGACTCGCGGCCTCATCGTTTTCTGGGGGTTCTCCGCCAGTCGGCGCAGTCTTTGACATGGCGCTCGTAGGGAATCAAGGGCTTTAGGGCTTAAGGGGCTTAAGGCTTTCGCCGGGTTATATCAAGGTTTAGGGTGTTGGGGTTTAAGGGCTTTGGGGTGTCAGGGCTCTGGTGCATCAGGGTTTGGGATCTTTGCCGTTCGAGGTTTCAGGTCTTAGGGTTAGGGGATTCTTCGTCCTCAGTTGCCCGTTTACTACTTATGGTCTGTAGTGTATAGTGAACATTCAGGCTATGTCTACAGGGGTTTACTTGCAAGGTTTAGGGCCCTGTTTCGGGTTCATGAAGGACAGGGGCTCCATGTGCAGAGGAGTATTGGGTAAAGGGGTTCGGCATGGGCATGGGTGTTCCGAGCCGAGACCCTAGCCAACACATTCAGCTGCAGGCGCACAAATGATGAAAATAGGGCTTGCAGGTTGTTTGATAGTGATGGTGCAGGGGGGATGCTAGCATTCTTTGAAACTTACAAGTAGCTACTTACATTGAAGCAAAGGGGTTGCCTATTTACGAGGGCATGGGATCTGGGAGAAGTTTTCGTAGGAGTTTCCTTCAGACTAAGAACTAGGGGTACCAGGAACCGTGCTTCCAAGAACCCTATAAAACCCTTGGAAGCCCTGAACCCCTAAATCCCTGAACCCCAGCGTTCAAGTCGAAAATTTCCGGGTCCTAGCAGGGTTCTAGCAAGTTCTAGGGTTTGGGGTTACTGCGGTCCAATCTAGGAGCTCTTGATTTTGGGGGTGGCGAGGGTGTTCAGCTGCTGCAGCTCGAAACACCTTCCGAGGAAGATACTTTGCACGTATCGGTTAAACTACATCATTCATTGAAGAACAGCTTGATGCAGAGCTTCTGTGGTGGCTTTTGAATTCTTCCTGGCAGTAGGGGAGCTGCTTTACTTTGCAAGCAGCTGGGTGACCTCTAAGTGGCCTTCAACAGCGGCGCGCAGCAACGCCGTTTGGCCTTCTCTGTCCATCTCCTCCCTGTCGGCCCCGGCATCCAGCAGCAAACGCACCACCTCTTTGTGCCCCTCAGCCGCGGCTCGGATCAGAGCTGTTGCATCATCCTTGTCTGCCAACTCCGTATCGGCTCTGGCCTCCAGAAGCAAGCGGACCAGCTCCACATGGTCTCCAAAGGAGGCACGGATGAGAGCGGTGTCTCCTGTGCTATCTGCCAAGTCTTTGTCTGCACCAAATTGCAAAAGCAAGCGTGCAACGTCCAGGTGGCCACGCCGGGCAGCCCGGAAGAGCGCCGAGCGGCCGTGTTCGTCCGTCGGATCCGTGGCCGCTTTGGCCTCCAGTAAGAGACGTACAATTTCAGAGTTGCCTCCGTGAGATGCACAGATTAGAGCTGTACGGCCCATCGCATCAGCCAGGTCCAAGCCAGCGTGTGCCCCCAGCAGCAAATGCACGATCTCGGCATGACCTGCGCTAGCTGCACGGATTAGGGCAGTCTCGCCGCTCTCGTTCGCGAAGTCGGTGTCAGCCCCTCCCTCCAAGAGCACGCGGACCACTTCTACATGACCCTCATGGGATGCGCGAACTAGCGCCGTGAGATAGTTCATGTCATTGTCATCGCGATCGCGAGCCGCTTCAGTGGCCATGGCTCTGGGGCTTGGAGGTGGATGGCCTTCGAAGATTTTTGCAGATGAGCCATGATGAAACTGGACCTATGTTTCGGCAGGCAGCTTGCCTGTCAAGCAGCAGGGGTGTGCACGTCTTCCGAAGAAAGACAAAGTCGGGAACGTACACAGATGCCACAGACTTGTAAATCCAACAGACCTCTGTTAAAGTGCAACGGACCTCGGCACCACGGACCTAATTTTGAAGTCTGAGTCTGAACAAATGGAACGGGGTTTTGGTTTGAGTGGTACAAGGACGATGAATGGCCACCGTAGACCCCTCAATTCGCCTTGCTATCTGCCGAAACCTGAGAAAGGGGGGTTCGGGGCAGTTTCGGGTTTAGGCCTTAGTAAAGGAGTCGCCCAACTGCAGTCCCGAGAGGTGTTAGGCCCCAGGGGGTTCAGAGCTGATCGTCCGAAACTCGGGTTTTTTTTCACAAGCTGCGACATATCACGGCCACCCCGGTTCACCCGCGTCTCAGGACTTGTTGTAGCAATGTCCTGTTGCAGACCCGGGGATTTTTTTTTCAGGCGGCGACTTCCTAAAGCTATGGCAGCTACGGTCACCTCATTCAAGGGGATTGCGTGAGTTAACGAGCCCTGGAATCCCTAAAACAACCTTCAAAAACCCTATTATGGCAGCCCCATAAAGCACTAGAACCCCCAAACAACCGAAAGAAAAACCACCAGAAAAGCCCCCAAGCAAAGCCGAAACCCGAGCGCCCCAGAGCCGAAAGCCTGCAAAGTCCGGGGCCCAGCCCGGCCCCCATCATCCACTCTACTACACTATACCATAAGGACGGAACTTTATAAACTATAATACACCATCATCTACCACCATGTACCATAAATATGCAAAAACTAGATAATCTACTATGATAGAAGTGCCCCAAAATGGCTCCGAATTGAGGCTCTTGCACTTTGTAAAACTCTATAAAAGTACCCATAACTATTCAGTCCCCCCCGACCCTCTGAGCCTGGCAAGATGATCACTGGGGGTACAGGAGGAGCAGAGCAGGCCTCCTGAGGGCTTTGCTTTTTCTTTGCAGCTTAGGGCCTTAGGCCTTAGGGGCTTTTGGGGGGGGGGGGGGGGNNTTAGGGAGTTTGGGGGTGAGGGTTCACTTGTCATCCCATACCTTCAAGATACTAGGTTACGGAAACATAGTTCCATGGTGTAGCTCTGGATCCGCTGGGAGGAAATTGGATTGATGGGAACT